TCTCTTTAAATTAAAAAAAAAAAAAAAAAAGTCTGGGCGCAGTGGCTTACACCTGTAATCCCAGCACTTTGGGAGGCTGAGGCGGGCAGATCACTTGAGCTCAGGAGTTCGAGACAAGCCTGACCAACATAGAGAAACCCTGTGTCTACTAAAAATACAAAATTAGCCAGGCATGGTGGTACATGCCTGTAATCCTAGCTGTTCGGGAGGCTGAGGTAGGAGAATCACTTGAACCTGGGAGGCAGAGGTTGCAGTGAGCTGAGATCACGCCATTGCACTCCATCCTGAGCAACAACAGCAAAACTCCATCTCAAAAAAAAAGAAAAAAAAAATTTAAAAAATGTTCCAGCCTGGGCAGAAAACGCCATCTCCACTAAAATATGCCAAAAAAATTAGCCAGGCATGGTGGCACATGTCTGTAGTCCCAGCTACTCAGGAGGCTGAAGTGGGAGGATCACTTAAGCCTGGGAGGCAGAGGCTGCAGTGAGATCAGGTCACTGCACTCCTGCTGGGGCAGAGAGAGACCGTGTCACAAGATACATAGATAGATAGATAGATAATTTTTTTTAAACTTTAAGCTTTATTTTTTTCTTTTTAAAAATTTTTGTGGGTGTACAGTAGGTATATATGTTTATGGAATACATGAGATGTTTTAATACAGGTATGCAAAGTAAAATAAGCAAATCACGGAGAATGGGGTATCTACGCCCTCAAGTATTTACCCTTTGACTTATGGGGTATCCACCCCCTCAGGCATTTATCCTCGGAGTTACAAATAATCCAATTAAATTCTCAGTTATTTTAAAATGTACAATTAAGTTATTATTAAACACAGTCAACCTGCTGTGCTATCAAATAGTAAATCTTATTCATTCTATTTTTTTTGTACCCATTAGCCAACCCTACCTCCCCCCTTTTTCTTAATACTTACAAAAGGTACAATACACTTTTTTATATGGCCAAACTGTGCAAAGTGTTCTCTCAGCTGACCTGCGTGGCAGAAGAAAACATATTAATAGTTACTATCTTTTGGATTCTCTATCTTAGATTGTAGATAGAAACTAAAAGTGGTCCCAGGGTCACCAGACTTCTTGTGGACAGGAACTACTTTGCATTTCCTTAAAGGTTTGAGATTTAGGAAGCTGCTATGGTACTGGCTATAAAGCCATAATGTACTAGGTTTGGTAGGAGGTGAGGAGGGGAGGTGGACTGACAAGTTGTTGAGCTGGCTGCAGTCTCCATCCTCAGCAAATATTGAGTGTTTTCATCATATTAGTTACTGTGCTATGTGGACTATGATCCCTGTGAGCAGATCACAAAGAAGAAAACGACAAATTACAATCCAGTGTGTTTCCAGCTATACTGAAGATTTCCAAATAAAATCCCAACTTACTGTTCTTTCATTCTTTCACAATTTAGTAAAATTTGTTAAGTTGACCTCACCTACCCTTCCTGCCTTATTTCCCCCTGCTGGCCCCTAGTTACTCTCTAGCACAACAAATTGAATCATCTCTATCTGTCCTGTGAATTCCCATCTTTGCATATGTTGTTCTCTCCCCTCAATATGTTGGTAATCCTATCTCCCCCTGCTTAACTTGTAATTATAACTATCCTTCAAGACCCAAACCAAATACATCCACTGAGTATTATTTTATTGGGCTCCTGCTGTAACACAAGACAATGTACTAGCCCTGTGAGACTTCAAAGATTAGAGTATATGATCTTAAAGACTAAAAACTACATGATCTGTTTCTTTTCTGAACTATAGTGCTTGTACTTCACTGATTTACTTTTTATAATATTTAGTTCTCCTAGTTCACCAAAACCTCACTGATTCAACAACTGCCTAAATTTGTTGTAAGTCTCTTCATCCCCACTACTACACTGTAAGCTCCCTCAGCATACAAACCACTATGTTTACAGTGACCAATAAACAGTAGGGCCTCAATATTGGCTAATGAAATAGTAAATGTCCACTAATCCTTCAACAATCAACAGAGACTAAGTTTTGAAGGGCTCTAATGGTAAGTCAAACCAACTGGCAAGATCAAGATCTCACAGAATATGATACTGGAGAACAAAATAATGTTAAACATATGTTTTATACCAGATAATTAAAGTCCTAGAAGACACTGATTTCAAAACCATCTCTGGAAGGTAACCGACTTTCTAACCTGCTTAAAACTGTGAGGGAGAAACAGCTGCAAGCACCAAGAACAATGTCTACCACATAATAGATACTCAAATAAATATTTGCTGAATCACTGGAACAACAGAGAGAAACTGTTTCGAAGTTGTACATAATGCTGACTCTTTTTGAGGGTTTTAAACTAGCCCTTTATTGCCTGGAAACTTGCATGTGCAAGACGCTAATGAAACTCCTCAGCCTTTCCATAAAGTTTCACAGGGCCTATGGAAGACTACTGGGCTTGGTCTTCACCAACCACATGTTTAAAAGATGGGGCACAAACCAACCTATTTCC